TTGGTATCCCGTACTCTTTCTTGTCAAGGCAGTGTTATGAGAATAGCCTTCTGGTTTTGCATTCTGGATTCAGGAACTACAAGCGTGGGGTTTGGTCTGGAATGGGGTTCACTGGTGACCTCTGGAAGCTCTCAGCGCCATGATTCACACTCGTATACTTTGGGTTTTCTGATTGATGACACGGAGGTCTATCCATGGCCGTCTTCATTTGCTGCTTATTAAGAGCTCAGCCTTAAAATGGAAAGGTGAGCAGCACCCCCTTACCCCCCTCCCCCACCGAAATATGATACCAATATTTTTCATTCTTGGCTCAATTTTCCCATATTGCCCACAGTAGAGCTCCAGACGAGGGGGCCTTGCCTGCTGGGACAGAGGCTGGAACTGAGACGTTGGGAGGGGTCTGCGGCAATCCAGAGCTGTTTGCTCTGAGCCCTTGCTCAGGTGGGGTCTGAGGTCTCCTCGGACGGCCTGTTGGGCTCACACCTTGCAGCATGCTGTCACTCACGTTTTCAAGCACTGGTGAGACCAAGCTCTGGAAGAGTCTAAGACTTGGTGATTAAAAAAAAAAAAAAAAAAAAAAGAATCCCTCCATATAGGATTCCCGAAATGCTGAGAGGAGGTAATTTCAAACAAGTGATACACACGTGCAAAAGGCAAGCAATTAAAACTGCTCAAAGTTCCTTTTTTCTCCTCAATCACCAGGGTGCGCACGCCAAGCCCACTGCATTTCTAAGGAGACAATCTATTTCTCCTTTGACCAGAGGGAAAAAAATCATTATTACATGATTAGTGGCTTCAGCTAGGTGAGGAGCAGCAGTGCAGGGAAGGGAGTGAGGATGAGTGGTATTAATTACCTAACACTTGCTGGCAAGATAATTTTATCAGTGATTTGGCCACTGGTAAGTTGCAGCTTTTGATGCAAGTGGGCAGGTTCTTAGCTATGGAAACATGAGGGAAGGGAATGGTGTCAGATGAAATGCATCTCATCAGCTTTTCTCTGACAAACCAAATTCATTCCTTATGTAATTGATAACGGCCTTGTCCAATTATTTCACACATTACAATACACAGAGGCCCCCTTTACAGGTTTTGCAGGGCTGTAATTAGCTATGCTAATATCCCCTTTATTGGCCCTAATATTGCTCAACACCTTTTGCCATCCTGGAACCCACGAGAGCCCCATGGCCTGTCAGGACCGCTGATTATTGAGAAGGATAGCTTTAATCAAACATAATTGCAGTTAATTTTTCTCTCCTGCTCTCTGTTGCCAGCGTCTAATGCCACGGACTCCTTGATATTCCATTAAATTACAATTAAGCAGCCTCCTTTGTTTCTGATTGTCCTGAACACCACCACAAAGTTGTGCAGCCGTTTAAAGGAGAGCTGTTTGTCCTAATTGCCTACGCGCACACAAAGGGCCAATTTATACAATGCCCATGTAGAATTTAAACAGTTCATAATGTAATGGATATTACACAGGAGCCTAACACTACAATTAAAATGATTTTCATCAGATAGAGAAGCTCCGGTTAATCAGCTTCATAAAAGTAAATATAAATGAACTAATTCATAGCTTAAACACACAGAAGTGGAGCAGACTCTGAAATGAGTTACTGCGGTGGGGGCTTGCCCCTTATTGGGGGAGGGGGGATGCTGAGGGTGGGCTCCCATCGAATCGGTTGGTCCCGTTTCTTGCGGTGGCCCCGCTCATGGTGTCCTCGTCCGCCGCCCCGCGCTTCTGTGGACGCTGCGGCCGTCTGGGAGGATGCTGGTATGGATGCAGCCAAGACTGAGTCTAACTTGGCTTGGCAGGCACAGCCGTGGCCGGGCTCTGCCGGGTCGCGGTCCCCGCAGACGTGAGGGCCTGCCCCGGGGGGTCTGCAGTGCAGACGGCAGGTACCATGGCTGGAGGCAGCGGCTCTCCCTAGGCCGCAGCCCTGCGTCCACCTTCCCAGGTGCTGGTGCGCGGGAGGCGGCGGTCCCCCCAGAACCTGTGCGCGTGTGCGAGCGCTGGGGGTCGCGCCTGTGGCCTCCTCTGTGAGTCCCTGCACGGGCTCCAGGCCGAAACCTGGTTTCTGAAGTAGTGAGATCCTACCTCTCCCTCTTCTAATCGCTACTGAGAACTTTCCAGGATTGTGCGCCGTCTCTGAGCAGAATATTACTGGGGAGTTTCAGTGAATGTGCAGCAGTTTGCCCTGGGCAGCTGCCTTCCCTCCTGCCTGAGAGAAACAAGTAAATAAAGCCCATATTTCAAGCTTGATTTACTCTGGTACCTACTGTGAAAGCTGATGGCTCTTTAGGGAAATAAAGACAGGGTCAGGGAATTAGTGTACATAATGGTCATTTTGATGATGGGCCAACAGATGCAATGGAAAGCACACTGTACACAATTAAGCATAATGTACTAATGACAGGTTCGAATTTTTATCGCCTCTTTGCCATCGAGCAGCAAATCCATGTTTAGCAGTAATAAAGAGTTTATTGGTGTTAAAGCCAAAGATTTTCTGACATAGGAAAGATTTTTCCTTTCATAACAAGAGTATTAAATCCTTTGTGTACCAGACTCTGGAAGTGAGATATGTAAAGTGGTTGTCAGATATTTCTTAGGAAAAAAGCCAATTACAGGGTAATTGAGTAAAAGGATGAGAATTATCATTTGACTTCACGTGTAGTAGGGCACCCGGCATCCTCACGCTCCCCGAACGTCAGCACGGCCCGGCTTGGAGAGCCATGCACGGGCTCTCCTGTGCCATCCGCCTGAGGATGAGGCCTGACAGATTCCTCCGCTTAAACACGAGACAAACAAGGTGGAAAAGTAAGCACAAGGCTCCTCTTCCTCCTGGCTGGAGCTTCCCGTCTCTGGCCCTTGATGTTGTGCCATATCATGTCTGGTTATTGGGACCTGAGCGCGTGAAGGGGGTCCTGCCCTCCGGTGCTGTGCGTGTCCACAGCTCACGAGACACTCGGGATCAAAGCAAAAACTACCGGCGCCACCTCCCAAATCAGCGTGTGTACCTGCACCAGAGCCAGGCCCCAAGAATGCTGAGGTTCGGGGGGCCCGGCGGGCGCCCAGCTTTGTGCTGCTGAGTTCCGCCCGCAGAGGAGGTAGTGGAGGCCCGAGAGGGTGCCAGGCCCCGCTAACCCCCCCACCATGGCCCTGGTTGGTCAACATACGCTCTGCTGTCTTAGAGGCAAAAGGTGAACCGCCTAAAAAGACATCAAGGAATTTAAAGAAACCTTCTCTGGAGAGGGGCAGGGGGAGGGTAAAAAAGAAAAAAAAAAAAGGAAAAGACAAATCCCTCCCATGACAGAAAGCTCCCGTAGACGGCTCTGTACAGAGGAGAGCTGCTCGGGCCGGCGCCTGCTCAGATGATTAGCCGGGTGGTAATGTGTGGCATAATTGCGCCATGTGGCTGTCCCCGAAGTGAAAACCTAATTGCCTGACAGGACGATAACTTTGTGACGCCCTCACCTTGTTAGGGCCTTCCTGATGCAGTTCAAATGCAGTGTGGCCGCAGGTGCGTCTAATTTACCTCTCTGCAGAGCGCGTGGAGTTTAATTGCACAGTGGTTGTTAGGAAAAATTGGTGGGTGGAATATCAGTGACTTACTGTATGCTGGTGGCAGATGGTGCTGAGAGGCACCGGGAGCTAAGTGTAGAGGTGAGGTGAGTTAATAAAAGATGTAAATTCTGGCCTAAAATAGTGAGGCCTGGCGGTATGTGAGAAAATTTAATGAAGTGGCCACCATTCTTTTTCCCATCAATTGGGTTTTCTTCAGCTGCGGTGAAAAGTCATCCGGGAATGCGGTTAGAGAAATGAATCTTCGCCTGTGGAGTCTTTTTTGTTTTCTGATATGATCATTGTCAACAAGGAACCTTGACCGTAAGGTCGAGTTCAAGGAAATCATGTGAAACTTCATGAAAAATGAATAATCCCAAGTAGGACAGGTGACATTTGGACAGAAAAGAGAGGAGTTTTGTTGGTAGCCTTGCCGGACAGGACGCTCAGACGCCGGAAGAGGGCACGCATGTCAGCCAGAGACCCCCTGCCCCCCGGCGCAGCCCACGGTGGCTGTGGCCCCATCAGGACGAGGCAGAGGGGTGCGGGAACCAGACCCCCGTGTTCCCTGTGCTGGGCGCTCCAGCCCAGGCGTGCACGTTGGGAGCCAGAGCTTCTGTCCTTGTCACTGAGCACACGGGCATGGAGGGGACAGCGTGATGAGGTTTTTGTCACAGCATCTCAACACACTGTCAGGACCCCTGAATCTTCACACCTCAAGGCACAAGGGCAGGGCTTGGCGGGAGATAGAATCGCTCTCGCCCTGAGCCCGGGCTGGGGTTTGCTTTTCCTGCTTTCCACCTGAGCTGCTGCTTCAGTGCCGGCTTGGAATCACCGATTATTTCCTCAAAAACACATGTAGACCCTTCACAGAAGTCACTGCAGTCCTTAAAGCACACCCCCAAATCCTCTCTTTTCTTAGGAGTTGCAACCACCGTAACTTTTAAAAATTCGTCTTGGGAAGTCTGTTTACCTAGGCGGCTTGGCTGCCAGATAAAGTTGAGCATGTCCAGTTACAGTTGAGCTATGGGTAAACAAGTTTTTTAGGATAGGGATGCTTTGGGACATACCTATCCTAAGAAATTATTTGTCATCTACCCGGAGCCCAAATGTCACTGTGCATCCTGTGTTCTCATTTGCCGAAACTGGCAGCCCCGTCTGGGCTGGACAGTTCCCCAGTGGTTACCGTGCAAAGGTCCAGGCAGCGGATGGCCCAGTCCAGGTCGCAGATGCTGTCCTAAAGCTTGGAGACCCATACTGTCAAGACAGATGTAAGTTTGTGGACATCTGGGCTGGCGGTCAGACCCAGTACCGCCCCCTACAGGCGGTGAGCGCGCGGTGGCGGGTAACCTCCGCCACTCCCCACGCAACAGTGTCTTTCTAAAAGTTTGTGAGTTTGTCTCATGACCCTAACACATATCCGTTTTTTGTATTTTTATAGATTCTTTCTAAAGTTTTTCCTCAAGTGCAATCAGAACTGTTTGAAGAATGCAGGCAACCCTCGAGATATGCGGAGATTCCAGGTACACATCTCTCAAAGACACGCGGGCCACGGTCCGGACTTTTAACATGAAATTTGAATTCTCTGATGTTGCGATTGTTCAGAAAACAGTCTTTAGTTCTCCAAGGGCTTGGGAGCAAACCCGAATTGGTCCATTTGATAAAATATTTAAATCACTTTGCCTTAAAAATGATTCGGCCTCTTCAGTATGCCAGATTCATCGAGTCTGTGCACACTGGGGTTGGCTCTGAAAATGTGACCTTGGCTTATAAGGTGCACCTCTTAGAGTGGTTGTGCCGTGCCTGGCCTCCGCTTTGGGCTGCCAGGTCACAGCTGCAGGTTAAGACGGGTTCCCCCTGACGTTCAGCCATGGTGAGTCTTGTAGGTGTGTTTCAGAATGACTGTTTTAGAATCTCTTCAAATACGTTAGTGCATAACGTAGCCCGTTTCCTCAGCCGTACGTAGCCATGCACAACTGATGAGAACTTGGAGCCCGTGCCCAAAGGTCTTCTCTTAGGGATCGAAGGGTGGATTTTTCATGGGGCAGAGCCATAGTGAAGCCTGTTGGGTAAGCACAAGACCTTGGGCCCTCCTCTTGAAGGGAGCTGCACCTGTTTGATGCTGGCCTCACATGTTCCAGAATGTTCCCCAGCTCAGCTTCCTTTCCCTCAGGGTTGATGTATTCTCGCTTCCTTACACCATTGCCTAATTGCTAGACCATGCTGCTGGACGCAGGCTAACTCATATTCTGGTTTGCTTCAGAAGATTTCATCTCAAGGAGAGAAGGTAGAGCTGGATGGGTTATCCCTGAGTGCATATTTTTCTCGCCTTTGTGAATGATTAGGAGGTTGCTTCAGGGTGAGAGGTACTCCCTGCACAATGGATTATTTCGCTGGTTTTAATTGTGAAAATATTCTGGGCCGGGACACAGAACTGCTGCTAGTCCCTACCAACCAGAGAGGAATCTGGCAGCTAGTGGGAATGAATGCTAGATTGGATGACTTACTCTCAAACCGCTCAAGGTCATCTTTAGCAATTTAACTTAACGTTCCAGTCCTTTAGGACATGTGACATTTGTCTTTACAGCCAACAAGCCAATCAGAGAAGGGTCTGTGGGCTGGTCCACAGTCATGCTCTGCAGGTGGGGACAGTGTCTCCTGTAAACAGCTGGGCCTGCCTCCAACCTTCCAGCCCCAGGCTTCACAGTGGTATCTGCCCATCAGAGCAGAGTGGAAGGGTGCACTTGGTCTCGCCATTGGCCAACACACCCTCAGTTGCAGTGGGCCCAGAGTTACTAGAAGGACTTGCTGGGCTCTCTTTAGCTTGTCTTCCTGCCTCTCAGGAGAGTTTGTACACAGTACTTCCAGCTGGCTTCACAGACTCAGCACCTTCCTGTAGGTGCACTGCAGGGCTGGCCCAGGCCAAGAAACAAAACACAGCTTGTCTGCTTCCTCTGCTGAGCCACACGCTTTTCCCTTGGTGACTGACCTATATAGAGATGACAGAGCAAAGACAGTGTCCTTTTTTTATTTTTATTTTTACCTTTCTTGCTTCTTTAACGTATCCTGGTCTGAGAACTTAAAGAGGGTCAAGTCTGGCTCAGCATTCGTTCCGTGGCCTAGCCTCACGTTCAGGTGATGGTGCAGGTCCTCCCAAGCCCTGGGTCCTGGGGGCAGAGGCGGCCAGGGCACTGCATGTGCCCGCCCCGTGGGTGGGTGGCCGTCGATGAGAAGAGAATGACGTGTCTAGGCTGGACGTGGGGACGCCGATGGTGGTGCCCACAGTGTTTTGAGGCTCAGAGGGGCCCAATACTATGAGACTCCAATCGTCTTGGTGAGGCCCACCCAGGAAAGAAGCATCAAGGAAGCTGCCCCTGGGAGGGAGTTTTGGGGGGTGTGGTAGATACAGCCCCTGCTTCACAATCTTCCTGTGGGGCCTGAGATTTTTTTAATGAAAAAGTCAATTACACATGTATTCAAATATATATATGTGTGTGTGTGTGTGTGTGTGTGTGTGTGTATGCAGCTTTGACTTTTTTAACCCTTAAAAATGTTACTTTTTATTTTTGATCAATTTTATTTATTTTTTTCTAATAGACTTTTTTTTTTTTTTAGCAGGGTGGGGCAGAGGGAGAGAGAATCTCAGGCAGAATCCCTGGGGAGCACAGAGCCTGACACCATGCTCAGTCCCACAACCCTAGGATCATGACCCTAGCCGAAATCAGTAGTCGTATGCCTAACTCCTGAGTCACCTGGTGCCCCTCTAATAGACTGTTTTTTTATTTTAAAAGGTTTTATTTATTTATTTGTCAGAGAGAGAGAGAGAGAGAGAGAGAGAGAGGGAAAGCCTGATGCGGGATTCGATCCCAGGACTGTGGGATCATGACTTGATCCGAAGGCAGACACTTAACTGACTGAGCCACTCAGGTGTCCCAGTAGATTGGTTTTTTAAAGAGCAGTTTTAGGCTTTCAGGAAGAATCCACGAAGGTTCCGAGCATTCCCATGTGCCCCCTGGGCACCCCCTCCCTTCCAGTTGCCCCTGGTGTTTAATGTCCCACATTGGCGAGGTACATTGGCTGCATGGGATTAACCAGTGTTCTGTTAACCAAGGTCCGCTGTAGCTTTGGCTTTCAGTGGTCATTTTCCAGGGCGTGTTTGGACATGTGCAGACCAGACAGGGAGAGCAGACGTGGACTGGGAACCCTTCTGGTCCCCTTCTCTCCTGTCCAGCTGCATGTTTCTCTGTGGGGCTGTGCTGCTCGAGGTGGTACTGGCCCTCACCACTGCCCACATGTGGCCAAGGCCAGGCTCCCAGCACCCCAGATGCTGGCTCCAGCCACAAGTCCTGCTGTGAGACCCAGACTGAATCAGGGCTCGTGTCTTTGCTACTCATATCAGCTCTTCTGGAAATAATGGACCACATGGGCCCCCCTCTGTTTAAGAAAAACCTTAAGGCCGGGTAGTGATTCTCGTTTCCCGAGTCCATTAAAGGGTGCCATCTCTGGGCTACCTGGGAAGGCGCCCGGGGTCGGCAGGGCGTTGGCACCAGGGTCCTTGCCAGTCTCCGCAGGGAACTTGAGAAAGGATGCTTGCTCTGGATTGAAAACGCTGCCACTACTCATATTCAGCTTGGTCTTTTCAGATTCAGGAAGGTTCGTAACCAGACATTAGATGTAATTGTCAAATCGACCCAGGGATCACAGATGATGGGCTGGGGTAGCCGGAGTCCTTCTGATTTAGGAAGCCTGTTTTTGGCAACCCTGAATCCTCACAACTCTTCAAGGGAGGACAGTCTCAAGTGAACTAATTTTAATTAGATAAACTATCTAATCAATATGTGAACAGATCAATCAAAACAGCAGCTTTAAAATGAGCGGCTGGAGGGGTGTTTCTGAAGCTAATGGCTAGAAGAATATTTCTCTGAATTGAATTCACTTGTTAGCATAATAGGAGATTAAACTGTAATTAGTGTAGCGGGTTTTGAAGAGAAGCAATCTTGAGTCAAAACAAAGCAAAACAGCCCACCCACCCCCACTAACCAAAAAAGCTGCGGGTGCTGGCGGCCTAGGAGGCCGCGCGGGAGCGGGTGCAGCTCGGGGCGCACCGTGGGGCCGGCGGCGGCTTCTGTCTCACCCAGCGGGTGGCTGTCTGTCCCTCCGCCAGCTCGTTTCACATCCGCTTCGTCTTCGCAGGTTGTTGTGTCGACAACAGTCAACGTGGACGGCCACGTGCTGGCCGTGTCTGACAACATGTTTGTGCACAACAATTCCAAACACGGGCGGCGGGCCCGCCGCCTAGACCCGTCAGAAGGTACGGCCCCTTCTTATCTGGAAAATGGTAGGCACACATGTTACATGTCTTTTTTTATTTGCAATGTTTTTTTCCTTTGCACCATCCTTTATGTTGATTCATGTCGCGCTGCCCTCACCAGGGGCCCCTCCCGGGTCTGCGGCCCCCTGGAGGGCCTGGCGCCCCGCCTGCCCGCCCCCCCCCCCTGCCCAGAGCCTGCCGCCGGGGTCCTCTCCTGCTTCCCTTGTCCTGTTATGGAGGGGCCTCACTCACCTCACCTGCCATGGGCTTCACTTTATCGGTTTGTTTGTTTCTAAGCTTTCTTTTGCTTGGAGCTTTTCTTGCAGTTTTAATTTATTTGGTTTTATTTGGGCTGTCCTAAGCCCCCATCCAGAAGGTCATCCCCAGATATTCTGTGCACGTTTCAGTGGGTGGTTACGTTGTGGGCCCATCAGCTCAGAACAGACATCGAGGACCATTTCCTGTCCCTGGATGAAATGGGTGGGGGCCAGGGTGAAGGGAATGAGGGAAAAAAAACCCAAAACGGCATAAAATGTTCTATATGAAATGCTTCCAAGTGACTGACTTCTTGTTTTGCTTCTTAGAAGAATTTTGCTGAGAGCGATAGGCAGCGGGGCGGTGGTCTTAGACATGGAGTCAGGGTTCAGAAACACTTAGACACAGAGGGCTTTCCCCAAGCCCCTCACTCACGCATGTCCCCACGATTTACCCCACCCCCTGTAAAATAAGATCTTTGTCCTCTATCCCAGAACACTTCCCAATAATCCTGAGATTCTGACCACCATGAATTATTGAGAAAGGAATGTGAGGTGTTTTTTTTTCTTTTTTTTTTCTTGAAAGTGAATTGCAAACAAAACAGCATGGTTAAATCTTTTGGAGCAAAGAGCCCATAAAACTAAACCATTTTAAGACCAATCCTCCACACTGAAGTCTCGAATTCAGGAGCCACACAGATGCGTACACAGGAAAATGAATGAAGTGTGTGTAGGTTATCAGAATGAAATACGATTCAGACATATAAAAACTGGAAGACAGTTTATGAATCTGCTGTGGTCCACAAAAATAAACTAATTTGTTTTTCTACATTAATGACTAAGGTATAAGAGAACAAAAATATCGTAATTAAAGGTCGCCCTGGGCACCAAGTCATTAGGATCTGTGACGTACTGTTTATCTCCTTCCTATGCACTGAAGGTAGGTGTGTGTTTTGCTTAGCAACCATCACTAATGAGGTTCACAATTAAGAAGGTTGAATCCCTGGTCCTCAGTCCCCTGCTTCCCCAGAGAGCCAGCACTCACAAGGCAGGAGGTTCAAGGAGGCCCCCTCAGCCCTCTGGTGTTAGGTTGTAGTCTGGGTCCAAAATCAGCCTCCTCTAATGAGCTATTATGATCTGAGCACAGTACAAGCATTTATTTTTGTAAGTAGCAGGAAAAAGCATTTGACTGCAAGCAGAAAAAATAGCATTTAGAAAAATAAAGGCCACTAGTGGGTACCTTGGAGATAAGACCCAACTAATCAAAAGCTATTTGCAGAAGCAGTCTTGCTGAAGATTTTTTTTTAAATGTTTGCTTCTCAATATTTTATCAACATTTAAACCAAGTCACTTCCTTGCAAGCAGTTGACGTATCTCATTCCGCCCCAGAAAGTGACTCATAATTTTAAAATGCACATAGGTGACTTTGGGAACTAGAATATGTAGAGAGGTCTTCAAGAAAAAAAGGCGTTTGTCATGAATGATAAAGGGGTGTGTGTGTGTGTGTGTGTGTGTGTGTGTGTGTGTGTGTGTGTGTGTTTGGTAATTAATACCCAGTTCTCCAAGTGCTCTAGGAAGCACGACAGGGTTCTCTCCAGGATGAAGAGATACGCATCCCATGCTTCTGCCACTTCCTGAGAGGGCCAACACTTAGGAAGTTCATTTTCAGGGCTGGCCATCACCAGCCGAAAGCCTGTTTACCTCCTTCTTCCTGCTTAGTACCTATTGTTGGGGTGGGGTGCTGGCTTTGAGTCAGTCCCACATTCTTTAAGGAGGAAAGTGCCCCCATCAACCAGAGATCTGTGCCTCTCTGCAGCCTTTGCTGGCTAGCACCTCATTATCCAATCATCTGATATTCACCAGCAGTGTGTACACACTCGCTGATGGTTTCCAAGTAGACTAATTCCCCCTGCTGCTGCCGTGGATGGCTGCCACTGCGTCCTTTGAGCTCACAAAAAGCAAGGCAGATTATTTACAGTATTGAACACAGGCGAGGGGAAAACAACCAGCCCACCTTCCAGCACGGCCCGGCAGAACTCAGGCTTTCATTTTTTTCCTTGTCACTTGTGCCCTCCTAAATGACTCCAGCCCTGTTTAAACCTTCCTTGAGCCCAGCCCAGCACCCGGCCTGCAGCACAGAAGCGATTTGCATGCCAAGTGCCGTAATGCGGTTAGGTTTATGCAATAAGGGCAACCGAATCCAGGCTGCGGGGCTTTAGCGAGTTAAGGGGAACAGATGGCCCTAGGAGAGGTAAAAGGTATAATCCTATCAGCTGGAGTATCAGCCAGCCATCTGGACATCCCAAGCACAATTACAAGACATTTTAGCAGGCAGAACAAAGAAGTCTTCGTGAGGCAAGATTAGGCCTGTTTGAGTGCTTCAATATTGTGAATGCAGAGAGAGGTGGCAAATGCCGTGATATTACTCAGGAGAGCTTGCTGATTAACGGAACGGGACGGGGAAGCGGTTTGCTAAGAGAATACTGGATACGGTAGGGGAGAGGCCCCAAAAAGAAAGCAGGGGAAACCCAACGAGGTGGCCAACCCCACGGGTTCCGAGCAGCAGCACTTTCACTTTTGGAAATCCTCGCCCCGGCCACCGGGCACCGCGGCCACGGGACGAGCCCGTCCACGTGGGCGTCGGAGGCGAAAACGTGCAGGCGGGCGTCGGAGCCAAGGGTGTTCTTAGGCCGAGACAGGTGACTTGGAGTGAAAACGGCTCATCCCGGCGCGTGTGGGACCTTCAGGGGAGGCCCGCCGCGCCTCCTCTTTTCTTCTGGCGCCCCAGGAGGCTGAACCGCACCGGGAGCTCGCAGGCCGGGACCTGTCCATAGGGCCGCTTCCTGCAGTGGGCTGGGGAGAGAAACGGGGAGCACACGGGGGGCTCCCTTCCCACCGCTCCTTCAGCCGCCGTGCCAGCCAGATCCTGTCATCTGCTTGAGTGTATTGTGCACGTATATCATTAGATCGCTAACGCTGTCTGTGTAATTCATTTTGCTATGGTTCCCATTGAACACATGTTCCCTCTCTATATGTGCATTGAAATGTATGCAAATACGGGCAGAAGGAAGATGGCTATCGGCCGCCGTGGAGGCCAAGGCAGGCCTGGGTTTTCTTTCTGCTGAGAAGCACTACAAATTCCAAGATGATGTGGCTCTTCATTGGGCCACAGCTGCCAGATAGCAATCTCCCGTGCATGCAGTAGATCCTGGATTTTTTTTTTTCTTTTCTCACCTCTAAAGTAAATTTGTTTACTGTAATTTTTTTTTTGTGAATTATTTGCCATAATTGGCTGTGCTGATGAAGGTCACCCCCTTGGAGGAGACTTGTCAGTCTTTAGAGAGCTGATCCTTTTCAAATGCTCTCCATGCAATTAAGAAAAGCAAATGTCATTCGGAAGCCTCAGAAATGAAAATTTGTATGAACTTATTAGCATGAAGTCAACAGCGCTAGTTAAGGGCAGGTTCCCAGTGTGTGCTCTGCGCTTCTGCTGCAGAGGGAGATGCGCGTGGAATGAGCAAATATAACCCCCGCTAGTCCAACATTAAAGCAAACAAAGGAAGGTGGCATGTCGGCGGTGTTCTAAACAACAATAGCTAATGGTGATTAACTAGACGGTGTCTGCAGAGGGCTGCCTCTGACCCGTCAGGGAAGCCACGGCACACGCGCTTCCGGAAAACGCCCGCTTATGAAGACGTGCGGCCAGATCTGACCCAGAGTCTAAAAAGATGATTTATCTGAAGCCGAGCTACACGGGGGCTCAAATAAGATGAACAGCCTAATAAGGCCCCAAGATGTCCTTTGGAGTGCTCTTGTCTGCACACACAGCCATGAGGGAGCCAAGCCGGGAACTCAGGGGTGGCTTGGTTAAGCCACTTCTTGTTTACCAAGCTTAGTTACTACTTTTTGGACAAATATCCACAGAGGTTGTTGTAGCCACGGAAGAACAGCAAAACGGGGAGAGTGCCCCTCGGGCCTGGGGTCAGGTTCCTGGATCTGCGGCTCATCTTCACACCTTCCAGCATGTTGCGGGGAGGCAGAAGGGGCAACACCTGGGGTGGCTCAGGGCTTGTGGGTGGGAGGGGAGCTTCATCTTTTCTCTCGATGGAGGACTGAGGTCTGGGCCTCCTCTGTCTGGGGGCTAGTTGTGTCCTGACAGCATCAGCCAGGAGACCTGCGGGATCTCAGGGGCCACATAGCCCCCCAACACATGGCCAGCGTTGTCCATCCTTATTTGTATACCAAAGGTAAAGAGGTGATCTGGGCCCGGGGCCCTGAAGACAGTGTCCAGGGCCCAGGCAGGCAGGAGAGAGCGTGCCCAGAGCCTTGTACCAGAACAGTCAGCAAATGGCTAAGGAGCTCCTCCTCTGCGTGGGGCCAGCCTACAAGAGGCCATCAAAGGCCTCAGTAAAGGTCTGCCAACAACGGTGTAGATGGAGGGCCGTCAGAGGCCAGAACAAAGCCTGCCTCCACGAGGCTGCATCCTTCAGCCCCGGCTCCGGCCTCCGTAAGGCTGCTGGGAGCCCGCGAGGGGCCTCCTGCCCTCCTCCCTCTCCCCCTGCGCCCTCCCTCAGCCACTGCCTCCCCTCCCCCAGCAGCAGGGCCGCCTGGCAGGCCAGGCTGCCCCAGCGCTGTTGTAATAACTCATGCAAATGTGAGGGCCCGCGAGACAAAGAGAGGTCAGGCCAGAGGCTCGGGGGTTCCTGTCGACAAACAATATTAGATGTAAAATGTGTACCTTTGACAAAAGTATTAATATAGTGCTTTTGATTTTTTTTTTTCCTGATGAAAAGTGAAAAGTAGTAATTGTGGAGTGACAGAGGAAAATGAAGTTTTGAACCAAAAGGCAAAGTTCGTGGATGAAAAAACCCAACCCAATTAGCTGCTTATGAGGAATCGAAATGCAAGGCATTTGCTCCTCCATCCCCCTCAACAACCTTTTGATTGACTCTGCTCAGATCTGTACGGCAAAGCAGATAAATCGACATGCCACATGCACGCAATGCTTAATCATTTGTAATAGTCATATTTGCCCTGACATATAATTTGCTATATCAAGCCAGTTTTTTCCCCCCCCTTTGCTCACCAGTATTCTGTGGCTTGGCCTTTGCTTTATAAAACATTTAATAGTTTGCTTTAAACACATCAACATGCTGATGTACGATTGCCCCTTGCGTGCCGCCTGGAGGAGTGGCCCTCCTCTTGTCCTGAGTTGGGGCCGGGGCTCTAAGGTGTGCGTTCTCTGTCTTGTGCGAGCAGCCACTCCGTGCATCAAGGCCATCAGCCCCAGCGAAGGCTGGACCACGGGGGGAGCCACCGTGATCATAATTGGAGACAACTTCTTCGACGGCCTGCAAGTCGTGTTCGGAACCATGTTGGTGTGGAGCGAGGTAAGCCTGCGTGCCTGGGCCGCGTCCGGCCAGAGCTGTCCTGCGAGCGGCTCAGCCGGCTGTCAGTGGTGTGTGGACACCGGGCACCCCAGTGCGCACGCCCCTAGAACTTGATGGTTCGCCTGTGGCAGGGGCTTCTCCGATGGGTGGGCACAGAACTCCCGCCCCCGCAACCTCGACCCTGGGGTTTCAAACCTGCCGTAGGAGGTCCCTCCATTCGCTGCAACAATTAGCGTTAGAATTACTAGAAGCAGGTTTAAGGAGACATATGGTGGCAATTTTCATATGAATGATGCCCTGTGGCCTTTCCTGCAAAGTAAAACCCAGGATCGTTTGCAGATATTTTTCTTAAAGAACACTGTAGATTCCCAGTCTCTGGGTGACAGCTAGGAAGGAGCATTCCGGGATGATGGTCCAATTTGTGCTCATTTTGGTAATTGTATCCCACCGACAAGTGCCCGCCCTCCCAGGCCAGCGCCTCTGAAAGCCTGTTCACCTGTGATTTTTGTAGCTCATCACTCCCCATGCCATCCGGGTGCAGACCCCGCCGCGGCACATTCCTGGAGTCGTTGAAGTCACCCTCTCCTACAAATCCAAGCAGTTCTGTAAAGGTGCTCCTGGGCGGTTTGTCTACACTGGTGAGTTCACGTTTCCGACTTCAGTGGCCAAGTGGGGGATGCCTCCTCCCCATGACAGCCTGCACAGGTGGGCTCCCTGCGAGGGCAGGCCAAGCCCCCTTGGCCCTCCGAGGGTTGGGTCAGTGGGGTGCATGGTTTCTGCATCCTCGTCCGAGTCAGTGATGCTGTGGACAGGTGCAGCCCCCACAGGCCGTGAGCTCCTGGGCCCCTCCCTGAACGTGAGGCCCTCTGCCTTCAGGCCTGTGAAGCGAGGTGGTGGGCCTGTCAGTAGCCAGTCAGCTCCAGCCTCCCCTGGGCAGCTGCCCGTGTGCCCGGTCCATGGGCCGCATGCCCTGCGTGCCCGTGCATCGCCGCGTGCCCGCCCATGATGCCGCCGTGCATTTGCACATGTTGGGACTGGGTTGAAGCACGGGTGACGTGCCCAAGGCCACATGCGCCATAATCAGTGGGCCGCTGGTGGAAGCCAGGGGTCTGTCTGCTCCAGGCCCTGTGCTATTTCTAAAAGAGGATCCATTTTCTGCAAGGGTCTCCGAATTGGTAACCAGAAGGGGTCCCCTCTGAAATGGCACGTTTGTTATCTCAGAGTGCTCCTCTACGAAGCCCCGCCCACATAGGCGCTGACTGAACACTATTGGGCCGAGGTGGCTGTTGAGAAATGCCATCGATAAACTTGAAGGGTTCTGGTTTCAGTTCTCGCCAACTGCAAAAGCGCTAGGACCTGAGAACCATTTGTACCGATGGACAGCACCTGCTGAAACCCCACGCGGGTGACAGGGATGGGCACTTGTTTTCTCCTATTGTGGCCTCAGTGTGCTTGTGTTTGGGGGGGGGGGGGGCACCAGGGGGGGGGGGGGGGGGGGGGGGGGGGGGGGGGTCCATGCCGGGAGCCTGGGCTGGGGCTGCAGGCTTGACCACACGCTGTCGCCAGCTGCAGGATGTCCTGGAGCAGATCTGGCCTCCCCCTGGGATGCGGGTCTCTCTGTCCACCAGGCAGGGGGATGTGGGGGGGTGTGGAGGTCCCTTCCACTCAGGAGTTTGAGGAGGGAGGAGGGGTTACTCACCCACTGCCCCTTGTAGGAAACTTTGAGTAGGTAGGAAATGGAAAATTTAAGCTCCTCCACACCACTTCCCATAGGCCCAGCATTAGCTCGGGGGTGTGCCTGACTTGGGTCCTCTCAGACAGCCCTGGCCATTGTCCCCAGAGGCCAGACCCTCAGCAGCCTGCCTGCCAGTGATACCTGGGGTCCTCAGTGGGGGCAGTTTCTTCCTCTGTCCTCCCCGAAACTCTGCACCCTGCCACGTGGTCAAGGTGGGGAGAGGTGCCCATACTATGGGCCACTTTCTCCCATGGGACCAGCACACACTCCCAGGAGCCCAGAACCGCCCAGGAACCAAGGGGTAGTGGGCGTAGCAGAAAAGCTATGGGTGGACGTCCCTGGGCCCACTCCTGGGGTCTGGATGCTCCTGGCTTCCTGGGGAGACCCAGAGACTGGCATCTCCTCCAGTTTGCGAGGCCCCCACAGTGTCTTCTGCAAAACGGGGTCATGGAACGTGGGGCATCTAGGAAGCACCCACACGTCTCCAACAAGCGAGCGCAGTGCATTGTGGGGCTGGGTCCAGGGAGGTGCGGCCGGCGTCCCATCCTGTGCCCATTGGGGCCTCTGCACCTGCTGTGGGTCCGTCGTCTCGTGTGAGCCGTCGTCACGCACACTCTCCACACCCCTTCTGTGCTCCCTGTTGGTGGGCATGACACCTCCGCGGGCCTCTGGCTTGTGAGCCTGGCGCTGTGCAGGCTCTGCTCGGCCCAACATTGGCCCGAGGACCTGGGCTCTGTGCCTCCTGACCCCGCCGAGTCCCACTTACTCCTCGGCCTCCCCCCCTGGGCTTTGTGGGGGTCAGGGAGAACTTAGGGGTGCTGTCTGCCGCAGGTGGGCATGTGGCGAGTGGTGCCTTTCTGTGGTCAGTTAGGGTAATGACCACCAGGGTCCCCAGTCCCTCCAAAGAGGAGACATTTACTGTCTGCTCATGAGCCATGTGGTGTGTGGGCTCGCATGTCTGCCACAGGACCGGGGTGTCCTTGTTGGTTTAGGGCACTTCGGTGAGCATGTCCAAAAGTGGCCAGATGGACTTGCCCCATCTGCCCAGAAGCGGGGGGACGGTGGGCTTCTCCCACTTAGTCTGCCCGTCCTGGTTAGGTTCTTCAGCTGGTACCTTCAGGGGCTCCCTTCCCAGATCAGACCTCTGCAGCTGTGGGCTTTTTGGGGTGGGGGTGGTCAGCGGCCATTGTAAGGAGATGGCAGAACCTTCCCTGCCCTGCCCACGGATGGCAGGAGGGGCCGGGCTGAGCTTCACATCGAGCGCGGGAGAGACCAAAAGTGAGTGAGGGTGGGACGTCCGTCACTGGCCAGCGGGTATCACGAGTGCAGGGCCTGGCACTGCCGGAGTCGGGGCTGGCTGGTGTCGGGGCGGTTCTCTGTGCAGGACGCCGTCTTCCTCTCTGGCTCCCGGGGTGCTCCCCTCCTCCCTGCTCAGGGTGAGGGCGATCCCTCGGTGAGCACCAGCTGCTGCCCGCCGGCCTGAACCCCAGCTTCCATTTCTGCCGTGGACGTCGCCTGCACCCCAAGACTGGGCTTCCAGGGACACTGGCCCAAGGCTTTGGGGATTTCTTCCGTCAAGAGTTCTCCCACGAATGGGCCTTTCAATGAAGCCTTTCAGTGAGCTCAGTCTTTCCTAGCGGGAGGCTAATTTATTGCCTCCCCCCACACCCCAATCATTAACGGGAATATACATTTCAAACGCTGTGTAAGGGATACGGGGCCCGTACACTCTCAGGGAGCAGAGGAAAGGTGGGGTCATAACCTGTCTGACCTGGAAGCTTCTGTCTGATTTGCGTTGCCCTGAAATTGATGGGGACAGTGAAGCAATCGGGCAATTGCACTGTCCCCGCTGAAAACTGAGCCAACCCTTCTGGACGTCAGGACCCGGGCAGGCAGCCCCTTCAGGGAGGGCGCCGTCCCCTGGGCATCTGGCTCCCGTCAGTCCCCGAGGCTGCCGGGATGTCCTCGCAGGGAGCCTTCCCGGCTGGCCCAGGCCCGGGGATAATGGACCTGTGCACAGGGAAGGGGCCCCGCCCGCCAGAGGCAAAAGGCCTAAATGATCTGTTTACAGCCATCTGAGAAACACCAGATTTTTCAGAACCAGACCCGATTAGTCAACCCAGAGAGGGTGCGGGCGCTCTCCGCTGCCCCCGCCCTGGGAAGCCCTGGGAAGGGGAGGCCGGCCAAGACAATCCCTCCAGACCCTTCCGCCCGCTGCTTTCACCAACTACTATAAAGGCACAATTACCTTGGGAGGCAGCGGCGGTTCAGTTGATTAGCACGGTGAATTAAAAGAATGAGTCACAAATGACATGTCCGGCTCTTCCATACCGGTCCTTTGTATTCCCAGTGTGCCTCACCCCTGTTGTAAGAAGGTCAAAAATTAGAGAGAGAGAACAATTTTCAAGCGGCTAGCACTTAGGAGCAGAATTAACAATCACTCTGTATGTAATTGCCAGTTAATAGTAAATTGCCTTTTAGGCTGTAAAATGCAATATAAACGGGTGGGCACCTAAAATTAAATTAATGAGATATTTGCTGCATTTAAAAGTGAATAGTGCAAATTAATAACTGAGTGCAATGCTTGTTTTAATATTTGTCTAATAGTGTATCATTTGCTTGTTTAGTAATAATTAAAATAGTCCTGGCAAATCGTCCTACCTGAGAAACTCCTGGTAAAGGGCGAACTGAGCAGTTTCACATGTATAACTTCACCAGGAGAAACACATCAAATTGTTAAGAGCAATAAAAGAAATTTTTTAATTAGAATATAGGCATTGCCGTGTTACCTGATTCAGACAAATTGGAATCTGTATGCTTCTAATTGGAGTTATGTTAGAACGAGAACTAGTTAACAAACACGTTTCCAAGCGTGAGGTGTTCCTGCACAAATATGAGTATCAGTTTTCTCCAAATGTCCACGTGGCAGAGGGTCTCCTGTTCTACAAAAGAGCTGAGGCTGGTTGGCGGTGGCTCACCTTCAGGCATCATTCCCCAGAATACCGGGGTGCAGCCCGTGGCGGGGGGCTCCCTGCTGACCTCCTGCACCTGACTGCTTGTCTGGCCCACCCGCATGTTAGAGATCTCTCTTGCTCATTTACAGAAATTATCACAAATTACTAGGAGTCAACATGTTGTCTGCCAACGGCCAAACTTAGTTCCTAACCAAGATATTGGTGGTTGATGGTCAACATGTCCAGAGCGGGAGCAGCCCGAGCTTGACTGCTGTGCTTGGGCCCAGCTCGGGTCTGTAATGCATATCCCTGACGGGGACATAGAAATGATGATTTTTCTGCACAAAGACGTGCATTCAGTTTCCTGCTTGTGAAATCATTACTCAGCCAGTAGCTGCTAACGGTTTGTGATCTTCCCGATACAGTATTTATGTGTGTGTGTGTGTGTGTGTGTGTTTGTGTGTGTGTTTCTTTTTGAAGTTAGATTGTGCCTTAAATGGGGGACATGTCGAGGCAGGGACGGCCCCGTCCTCAGGTGCTGTCCTGGTGCTGGGCGGGTGGTGGTGGGGGGGACCCTTTCCTCGCCCAGGGCCTCCGGTCACCTCTGGCAAGCTTCCCCCGTTCACCCCCGCCTCACGTCACCCCCTTGAAAGGCACTCATGTTTCTGAAGTGTTTTAAAGATCTTTTGTGTGCATTCAGATGTGATTCTGTCAACAGCACGGTGACACGCTGCAGAGTCAACAGTACCCTTTGACCACAGCCAGCACCAACTAGCTGTCCCCCAGGCCAGCGCCCTTCAGACAGATTCCTTGTGTCCACAGCACAAATGATTCCTAATTGCCCCCCACAAATCATACTATTTTTACTGTGCCTACACTAAATGCTCATGCCTTCTCTTCAGTGTGAGCCACCTGATTATTTCAGTTACAGATTTTTAACTACATCTGT